TCCTCAACATCCTTCTGTAGAAACACATTTCTACTGCTTCAAGTCACTTCTTCATCTTTGAGGAGATTGTCCAGCACTCACAGCCATATAGGAGGACAGATATCACGTCGTAGTTCAAAATTCTTTACTTTGTTTCTAATGTAGTTTTTCTGTTTCTTAATACTCTACTTAGCTTTTGGATCTTTGGTTATCCAAATGCGCCTTCGGATTTCAGTGTCGCATTTTCCGTCCTCTGTTAAAACGCTTCCCAGATATTTACATTTGTTGTATTCGATTGATTTTTGGCATCCCCAATTTGTAATTTGCATGTTGAAGTGTCTCTTTTGTTAACAACCAAGCATTCTGTCTTCTTGCAGTTACCTAATGACGAGGAAGTAAAGAAAGCATACGTTTACATTTTGATTCCATTTTTTTTAAAACTTTGTTGTTGCTCATATGTTTGGTCCATAGCATCCTCAGCATCCTTCTGTAGAACCACATTTCTGTTCCTTCAAGTTTCAGGATATTGTCCTGCATTCACTGCCATATAGAGGGACTGGTATCACGTAAAAGTTCAGTACTCTTTCCCTTGTTTCTACCAAAGATTTTTCTGTTTCTCAATACTCAGGTTATCTTTTGGGATGCATCTTTGCCTATCCAAATGCACCATTTAGATTTGAGTGTCACACTTTCTCTCCTCTGTTAAAATACTTCCCAGATATTTAAATTGTTGGACTTGTTTGGTTTTGGCATCCCCAATTTGTAATTTTCATATTGGGTTGTTCTCTTTTGCTAACAACCATGCATTTCTGTCTTCTTGCAGTTAATGTTTAAACCTTTCTTCTCACTTTCCTTCACCAGGAGGACGTTTTTGTAGTTTCCTTTCCATCTCTGCTCTCAACACTGTGTCAGTGACATATCTTATATTGTTAAGATTGTAGCCACCAATAATGAATCCTGATAAGATTCATAATTCTCTCAGAATCACCTCTCTGTATAGGTTGAATAAGTCTGGCGAGAAGACACATCCTTGTCTTACCTTTCTTCATCTTTTAGGATATTGTCCAGCATTCACTGCTATATAGAGGGACTGGTATCACGTAAAAGTTCAGTACTCTTTCCCTTGTGTCTACCAAAGATTTTTCTGTTTCTCAATACTCAGGTTATCTTTTGGGATGCATCTTTGCCTATCCAAATGCACCATTTAGACTTCAGATTCTCTCCTCTGTTAAAATACTTCCCAGATATCTAAATTATTGGACTTGTTTGGTTTTGGCATCCCCAATTTGTAATTTTCATATTGGGCTGTTCTCTTTTGCTAACAACCACGCATTTCTGTCTTCTTGCAGTTAATATTTAAACCTTTCTTCTCGTTTTACTTCACTGCCTTCTGTAGGAGTTCTTGCACTTTCCTTTCCGTGTCTGCTATCAAAACTGTGTCATCTGCATATCATATGTTTCTTATTACTCCAAACATTATTATGTTTGGTCTAAGTTATCCTCAGCATCCTTCTGTAGAGCAACATTTAGCTTTTGGAATGCAACTTTGGCTATTCGAATACGCCTTCAGATTTCAGTGTCATATTTTCCATCCTCTGTTAAAATACTTCCCAGATATTTAAATTGTTGGACTTGTTTGGTTTTGGCATCCCCAATTTGTAATTTTCATGTTGGCCTGTCCTCTTTTGCTAACAACCATGCATTTTTGTCTTCTTGCAGTTAATATTTAAACCTTTCTTCTCACTTTCATTCACCTGGAGGATTTTTTTGTAATTTTCCTTTGCATCTCTGCTCTTAACACTCTGTCAGTGACATATCTTATATTGTTAAGATTGTAGCCATCAATAATGAATCGTTTGATTTTTGGTTGATTTTGGCATCCCCAATTTGTAATTTGCATGTTGAAGTGTCTCTTTTGTTAACAACCATGCATTTCTGTCTTCTTGCAGTTACCTAATGATGAGGAACTAAAGAAAGGTCTAAAACGCTAAACAATAACAAAGCATCACTTGACAGTGAGACTGAACTTTTGAAATTAGCCTACCCTATCCCCGAATTTAAAAACAACTTTCTAAATTCTAAGGAATTTTTCAATCAGAAGCACATCCCTAAAAAGTGGGGGCTATCTCGCACCTCCAAAAACTGGGGTGTCGCGCATCCCCAAAAGTGGGGTCTGTCGCTGTTGTAACCTAGAAAGGGTTACTGAATGAGGAATAGCCAAAATGGAGGTTGGAAATGAAATGGTAATCTTTATAACATCAACAAAATACAATACTCGCCAGCGGCGTGAAGTAGGTAAACCACTGCTAATGGTGGACTACATGGACAGCATACTACCCCAGCTTACAATAGTGTCCAACGTATTTATGAGGATTAGAATATACACATTAGTGTTCATATGTACGGTATATAACAGTCGCACATCCCAAACAGTGGAGTCTATCACACATCCCCAAAAAGTTGGGTCTATCACACATCCCAAAATTGGGGTCTATCATGCATCTCCAAACAGTGGGGTCTATCATGCATCTCCAAACAGTGGGGTCTATCGCGCATCCCCAAACAGTGGGGTCTATCATGTATCCGCAAAATATGGTCTATCTAACCAAGGAAGGCTGATCAGTGGTTCTTAACCTTTTTTTACAATGCTCCACTGAAACCTCTGTAAAAGCCTGATGCCTCGTCCACCTCCGGCCAGGAACATATAATTCTTATTATTCCAAAAGCGAACCCCTATTCACGTGGAGGAAGCCTAAAAGGCCATTAACTTAACTTGAGACTGCATATATGCAATAGTATCATCATTTAATTTTAGGAGTTTACAATATTTCTGAAAAAATTGTGTTACTAATATACACCGGGTGTAACAGCAAAATTGTCCAAGTCGTGTAACAACATAATTATCCATCCCACAAAATGTTTAATATCTTAAAAAATAAATAAATAAATAAAAATAAAAAATAAAAATAAACACTAAACTGGTATTTATTCGTACAAAAAGTACAAATTGTGGCACGAGGCCAATAAAGGGGAGGGGTAGAAGCTGGTCAACACTAACTATCTTATACCTAGCTAATCAGATTCGCGACCCATTCGTACATTACATTTTACCCATTCACCAAAAGAACTCGTCCACCACCAAACAAGCCTTCAACAACCATAATACCACGTGCTCTCAAGGGAGACCTACCAAAATCGCGCCCCATGCCATAAAAATTTTAATGATATACAATTCTAATAATGATAAAATGAGAGGGGAGGGAAATGAACCCAATAATAAACTTAAAATAAACACAAATACAAACTAAACATAATTGATGTTAGTAGGGACCGTCCAACCCATAAAACAGAGAGACCGCTGTAATTCTGCCCAGGGGACAAAATCAAGAGACGCTCTCGCTAAGGGAGTGGGAAAAAGTATAAAATATTAGGCTGGAATGGGAAAATATAAAACTGGCCCAGTCGAGATGAAGGGGGGGGTCAAACAAACTGGGGAGGTTGGGAATCTCGACTTGGATCATAACCAAAGAACGGCCGGGATGCAGGCAAGGAACAACACTTACATTAACTAGGTACACTGAAGCTTGTCTATCCTAACCAAAATTGAGTTTCTTATTTGCTTTGCGTTGTTAAATGCGTTTTTAAATGCAAACGCTTGACAATGTACTGAGCGTTCATTATCCATTATGGAATTTTTTCCTCTATGATATAATGTTGTTGAGATGTTGAGTGTTTCCGCGTGCCTGTATTGAAATAAGGACAAACGCATACGTAGGGAAAAATACTGGCATATCTGAAGAGGTATTTACAACAGAGAGATTAGTAGTCAAACGAACGCAGGTTAGTCAGTAACAATCAGAAAAAGAGTATAAAGTCAACTGTATCTTCCGGTAGAGACGGAAGTGTGATGGTCACCTGATCTCCCAGAACTCTATAGAACTGTCCTATAAGTAGTAGAGAGATCAGTCCATTCTGATGAGAAGGTGGGTGGCCCCAACAAATGTCATGGTCACTCGCGCATTAAAGCATGAAAAAACTGTTTCTTTATAGGCATTTCAGAACATTACTGCAGTATTCATAGTTGATTCTGTTAAGAGCCGGCTTTAATTATTTTTTATATAAAATTGCTTCTAGGATCTGTAGCTTGAATTTATTATTTTCTTGGTGTAGGATACTTGTGCTGTCGATCAGTAATTTTTATATTGTGAATGTGGACAGGAATGTTGTTGCAGATGTCTAGCAATGGACGAGTGGTCAGACATGTGTAGTGTAAGACGTCTTGTTAGTGTATTGTCGTATACACAACAACTTTGTATAAATACTTGTACTCCTGAACAACATATAGTTTTGTACTACTTGCACCCCTGAAGATGATCTTGGAAGAAGATCAAAAGTACTTGGGAAATGGAATTAAAAGAAATTTAAACAGTTATAGCATATTTCTCTCATCCTTTAATATCAATACACGGAAGGTTATTCGTGAGTATGAACGGATTTTGTTAAAAATTAGCAAATATAATGTCGGTAATTTATTCAATCAGACATGCCTAAAAGGAAATTTGCTGCCTATATACACATATACGCACACACACACACACACACACACACACACACACACACACACACACACACACACACACACATATATATATATATATTTATATTACATGAATATATATATATTGCACATGCACATACATACACATAAATATTTTTATGAATCCATATAAGCACAGTATCTATTAATTCGCACACATACTCATACTCACACAGACGCACACGAAAAAATTCACTGTTAATAACTCGTATTGTTGCCCTTAAAAATCAAATTGCCCCACTTTGGGGACCACGGACTTAGATATAAACGAGCAATATTTAACTAGCCCCAAATCAAGTAAATGCTTATAAACTTAAAAACTCCAAACTAAATTAATGATGATAGACACAAATATAAATGACTAATAATTACCTATTCCGGAGTGAAATAAATGCTTAGAGATTCAGATGACACACGGCCGTATGTTGAAACACCAATTCTCGTACGATCAACGAAGTTAAGCAAAGTCGAGCATGGTCAGTGCCTAGATGGGTGACCGATTGTGAATACCAGATGTTGTAAGCATGGGTGTACGATGAGACGAGTTCCAATTCCAGTCGGGTCAATTATATTTGCATACGCGCAAATATCTTTGAGAAAGGTATGAATCTGCCCAGCTACGGGTTAATTAGTAACACGGCTATCAGTAAATAAATTATTATCTCCAAAATATTCTTATACTCTAAAAATATTTTCTAGCTTTTAATAGATCATCCGGATGCCTTTCGATTTGATGGCGTATTTTTAGTAGATCATCTAGGAGCCTTTCGATTTGATGGTACGCTTTTAATAGATCATCCGGGTGCCTTTCGATTTAATTGAATGCTTTTAATAGATCATCCAGGTGTCTTTCGATTTGATGGTATGCTTTTAATCGATCCTCTAAGAGCCTTTCGATTTGATGGTACGCTTTTAATAGATCATCCGGGAGCCTTTCGATTTGATGGTACGCTTTTAATAGATCATTCGGTGCCTTTTGATTCGATGGTACGCTTTTAATAGATCATCTAGAAGCCTTTCGATTTGATGGTACGCTTTTAATAGATCATCCGGGTGCCTTTCGATTTGATGGTACGCTTTTAATAGATCATTCGGTGCCTTTTGATTCGATGGTACGCTTTTAATAGATCATCTGGGTGCCTTTCGATTTGATGGTATGCTTATAATAGATCATCCGGGCGCCTTTCAATTTGATGGTATGGTTTTAATAGATCATCCGGGTGTCTTTCGATTTGATGATATGCTTTTAATAGATCATCCGGGTGCCTTTTGATTTGATGGTATGCTGATACCAGGTTGATTTTGCTAAATCTTATTTTATTGGCTAGATTATCAGCAATTGAATTAATGTTCGGGGTGAGGTATTTATCGCTTTTGGTAATGCCGTTTAATGCGCAGTAATCACTGCAGCAACTGAAATTTACATCTGGCTTTTTAACAACGTGTAGGGGGGGGTCTATCTCATTCACTAACAGAAAGTGTAATGACATCATTGTTTTGAAATTTTGAAAATTCCTTCTTTACTGCTTGGGTTTTCTCTCCTGATAGGCGTCTAGCCTTGTCAAAAGTAGAAGTATGACTGCTTGTATCAATTCTATGGTATAATCCTGCAGAGATTTACTTGACAAAACCCCGCCTCCACCTCCGACCCCCACCACCACCACGGAGTCAGGCTGCGACACAAGGTCAGTTTTTAACGTGTGGTTACGAGTGTCTTCACTCGGGACGCTGGTCTTAGCTGGTCGTAGCTTGTCCAAGCTGGTCGGAGCTGTTCTAAGCTAGTCATAGCTGGTCTAAGCTAGTCAGAGCTGGTCTGTTAGTTATAACTGGTTCAAGCTGGTCATATCTGGTCCAATCTGGTCATATCTGGTCCAATCTGGTCAGAGCTGGTCTAAGCCTAGTCATAGCTGGTCCAAGCTGGTCGGAGCTGGCCTAAGCTAGTCATAGCTGGTCCAAGCTGATCAGAGCTGGTCTAAGTTAGTCATAGCTGGTCCAAGCCGGTCAGAGCTGGCCTATGCTAATTTGTTTCTTTAAGCTAGTCATAGCTGGTCCAAGCTGGTCAGAGCCGGTCCAAGCTGGTCAGAGCCATGATACTACTATTGCAGGGACAGAATGTGTAAACTGCTCGAGAGAGCAGCTTACACACTTGCTATATTCCTACATATATGCTTGCTGGGTTGATACGTTGGGATATAATGTTGAGATATATTTTTAGAAAGCCTTTAATGAAATCAGGCATATTTGAATGTTTTTAGTTTCTTTGAACACAATGTTCGTTGTCTGTTAGTAAATCTATTAATAAACCAAAATTGTGTAGGAAGTCGGATGTATTGGATGTCCGCTACTACGAACGCCCACCGAAAAGATCGTCGAAGACTAGGTATGTCCGTTTAATTTGCCTGTAGCCGCGTATGTCAGAGCCTGTAGCCGTAGTTAGAGAAAGTGGTGTTGGGTCTGTTGATAAACTGTTGACGTAGCTATGTGGAATGACATATAACCTGGCACTGGTATCTATTATGATTGAAAACATTTTTGTCCCCAACGTTGCTGTTATCTGTAACTAGCAGTAGAGCCCGGCGTTGCCCGGGGATGTAACAGTAAGAGATAGATCAAGTATCGACCATCATAAAGACTGAAAAATAAAATTGACAAAGATTATTGTTTAAGGTTGACGGACACGCATATCTTAATTAGTTTTGTTTTATTGTTTTTTGGGGGTTTTTACGAATTGGTCAAACCCAAACTCAAACAAAAACATTGGGTTATTTAATGCTGACAACATTTTTAGGATAGATTCGTATGAATAGAATATGTATTCTTTGGTTTAGATTGGTTTGGTTTATTTTGTTTTACGGCATATCAACCTCAATGGGTTATTTAATGCCGACAACATTTTTAGGATAGATTCGTATGAATAGAATATGTATTCTTTGGTTTAGATTGGTTTGGTTTATTTTGTTTTACGGCATATCAACCTCAATGGGTTATTTAATGCTGACAACATTTTTAAGATAGATTCGTATGAATAGAATATGTATTCTTTGGTTTACATTGGTTTGGTTTATGTTGTTTTACGGCATATCAACCTCAATGGGTTATTTAATGCCGACAACATTTTTAGGATAGATTCGTATGAATAGAATATGTAATCTTTGGTTTAGATTGGTCTGGTTTATTTTGTTTTACGGCATATCAACCTCAATGGGTTATTTAATGCTGACAACATTTTTAGGATAGATTCGTATGAATAGAATATGTATTCTTTGGTTTAGATTGGTTTGGTTTATTTTGTTTTACGGCATATCAACCTCAATGGGTTATTTAATGCCGACAACATTTTTAGGATAGATTCGTATGAATAGAATATGTATTCTTTGGTTTAGATTGGTTTGGTTTATTTTGTTTTACGGCATATCAACCTCAATGGGTTATTCAATGCTGACAAACATTTTTAGGATAGATTCGTATGAATAGAAGATGTATTCTTTGGTTTAGATTGGTTTGGTTTATTTTGTTTTACGGCATATCAACCTCAATGGGTTATTTAATGCCGACAACATTTTTAGGATAGATTCGTATGAATAGAATATGTATTCTTTGGTTTAGATTGGTTTGGTTTATTTTGTTTTACGGCATATCAACCTCAATGGGTTATTTAATGCCGACAACATTTTTTAGGATAGATTCATATGAATAGAATATGTATTCTTTGGTTTAGATTGGTTTGGTTTATTTTGTTTTACGGCATATCAACCTCAATGGGTTATTTAATGCCGACAACATTTTTAGGATAGATTCGTATGAATAGAATATGTATTCTTTTGTTTAGATTGGTTTGGTTTATTTTGCTTTGCGGCATATCAACCTCAATGGTTTATTTTATACCGACAATATTTTTAGGATAGATTCGTATGAATAAAATATGTATTCTTTGGTTTAGATTGGTTTGGTTTATTTTATTTTACGGCATATCAACCTCAATGGGTTATTTAATGCTGACAAAAATTTTTATTGCTGGTAATATTTTGTTTTATCAAAAATCTGTTTCTGGTAATATATTTCCTTCAAAATTGTATTGCTGATAATAATTTTTTTCCAAAATGTATTGCTGGTAATAGTTAACTATTTGCTCATAGATGGGACCCTAACAGATGCTACCACCCTGAGTCTGAATGGACCTGGAACACCAGCAATTAAGAGGTGGTTCCACGTTCCTCAAAACATCCTGCTCAGAGGCCTTGCTGCTGGACGTAGTTTAACGTCTTACCCAGGACGCGGATGTAGTTTAACGTCTTACCCAGGACGTAGCAGTTCTGGCTTCGTTTGTTCTTGTGTTTCACTTAAAATCTTTTTTAACTCATTGGAGTTTTCGATAACGTTGCGAGGTATTTTCGTCACTATTTCCAGTGGTAGAGAGGTAATAACAATATAAAATTTGATGATTTGGGAAGTTACATTTCTCAACTAGAATTGAGATTCAATAATTGTGAAAGAACTGGTAATGTTAGTTTTTATGAATTCATGTAGTTTACTTGTTAAACTACAATCTTCCACTTGTTTACATTTGGATACGCCATGAGCAGATATGAATGTACGTGAGAGAATCATGAAAGATTGTAGTTTAAAAGCAGTAAATTCGACCTTGCTAACCGAACGCTCCTCTGTAGCCAAATCGGTTAAAGGCACGTCAAGTTATATGACGGTTCCGTATAGGAAACAGGTTCGATTCCTGTCGGAGGACGAATATATTCTATGAAAATGAAAAAATATATGAAAATTTCTCGGACATTCAGGCCGGTAAATGTTGTTTAATACTGTTTATTATAAACAGAGCATTTACTTAAATATTTGTATCTATAAAAAGAATGTTTAAACATAAAAATGCCTTAAATAATTGTCGGACTTTGTCCATTTTATAATGAATGACGTCATTTGTTTACATTTGGATACGCCGTGAGCAGATATGAATGTACGCGAGAAAATCATGTAAAATTGTAGTTTAAAAACAGTAAAATCGACATTGCTAACCGAACGATCCTCTGTGGCGCAATCGGTTAACACACGTCAGGCTATATGACGGTTACGTATAGGATACAGGTTCGATTCCTGTCGGAGGACGAATATTTTCAATGAAAATTTCTCGGACATTCAGGTCGGTAAATGTTGTTTAATACTGTTTATTATAAACAGAGCATTTACTTAAATATTTGTATCTATAGAAAGAATGTATAAATATAAAAATGTCTTTAAATAATTGTCGAACTTTGTCCATTTCATAATATATATATATATATATATATATTGGAATTCACCAAATACGTGTTTATCAAAATGTGTGTGTTTTAGTTCGTCGTGATCAACAAATATAGTGGTCATTAAAATGTGTTTTGTTTTCGTTATGGTCACAAAATATGATGTGCGCAGATATGAAAAATCGACCTCATTTAAAAAGTGAATGAAACACGATAATATAAATATATGAAAAGTTCAAATAAAACACAAAAGTATTCGTATAAAACACTT